AGGCAAGAGCCATTCTTTTCTTTCTTTTTTTTTCCTACTCATTTTTATTCATTCCTCCAAAAGACACCAGAGGCCATCCAAACCTTGGTTTGTCCTTCTTTGTTCTCCATTATTACAGACACAAGTCCCTCCATTATTACCCAGAAATGTACAAGATTCTGCTATGGTGATGAGTGTGCTTCACCCACGTCTTGGGGCCTGTTCTGTGTCTGGTAACGGTGACGCCAGGAGTCATACATTTCCTGGGATTCCTGCCCTGAGCTGTCACATGGACACACCCGACGGCAGCCAGTCATCTGTCCACAAGGCAGTTTGAGTTTTTTCTGCTTCAATGCTCCCAGAGACAGATGGCTCCCTCACAACTTTATGCCTCCACAAAACCTGAAGTTGAATTCCATCAAAAGTCATCGTGTAAAATGCAACCATCCCAGAGAGTAGTTGTGAAACCCAATGGTGCCAATATACAGCTACATAAATACAACCAGCACACACACACACACACACACACACACACACACACACACACACACAATATCATCCACTGATATGATCACTGCCCGATTCCTGCTGGCAGGAGGACAGAGGGAAATACAGCAGCAACGCATACAGCAGAGGACAGGCAGGACCAAATCGGAGGGTGCCAGAGTGCCAGAAAAAGAGGGCAGTGTGAGTAAAGGTATGAGGTCAACAGAAGATGCTCAGACCAGAGACATCCTAGTGCTGCCCAGGTGTGGGCAGGGACAACAAGACTAATGTTTGAGCACCTGGTGGCCCAACTTCTCATGAGGGCTGTAGGCTGCCCCGTGTGTGCATGTACGTGAGCTCATACACACAGTGGATTCTCACAGAACATGTGAGGTAGATGCCATTCACTGCCCAAGGTCATCTCCAAAGTCAGTAGGCCTGTCTGACCCTAGAGCTATACTGATAAGGTTTCTTCTCATCAGAGAAATGTTCTAAGCCTGGACTGCTCAATACTTGTGGCTACAGAGTAGTACTTGAAATGTGGCCAGCACAACCAAGAAACTGAATTTTGTTTTGTTTTTAATTCACTTGAACACGATACGCATCGTCATTACTGATAAACTAGTCAATATCACTGGGACAACCTTGGTAAGTGAATCTACTTCTCTTATTATAAATTGTATGAAAAGTAAATAGAAGTCCAGCACTTCCAGTGACAATTTAGTCTCTGAATTGAGATGTGCTGTAAGTGTTAAGTATTTATCAAATTTTGAAGACTTAGCATAAAAGAATGTAAAAGATCTGAGTATCTTCAAAATATCAATTATATGTTGAAATGATAATATTGGGGGGATCCTGGGTTAAATGACATATTACAGTGAGTTTCAGCTGTTTACTCTTTTGCTACCGCTACCAGGACGTTTAAAGTGACATGTTTCTGTCGGACAGCTGCTTTCTCATGTCTGACTGAGGGCCCCGGCGGGCGCCACACTGTGGGGGAGACAAGGAGGGATGCTGGATGCCACTGGTGCGAGGGATTCCCCTTCCTCTGAGGCTGCAGGAGCCCAGCGCCCACTCAGTACAGTGTCAAATGCTTTCCCCACCGTGGCCATCTCGACGCTGAGGGAACGTACTGTGCTGGAGGTGAGAGTTCAAAGTGCAGATGGGGGTACCACCCCCAACTACCTGCCCCTAGGACCAGGAACCTTTGCCTTCAGCTGTCAGGGAAAATAGGATCTGGGAAGTATTTATGGTTCTGGTCCAGCCCTTTCATTCCAGAGATGGGAAAATAAGGCACCGGCCCATGTGACACAGAATGACAGTGACAAAACCACACTTGTGTCCTAGGTCCCCTGACCTCAAACTGGAATGTTCTCGTCCATTAAATGGTTGTTTCTCCAGCTCTTCTTCCTTTTTCCTTTCTATGGCAAGAGGGCAGCAATCTAAATCCCAGCCTTCGTTCTGCCACTGATCAATGAATAAGAATAACACTCATTTACTAAGCACCTCCGGGGTGTCAGGCACTGTTCTGTGCTGGCCCTGCACTGGGGAACATCACAGGCAAAGGAACAACAGCCAATAAATGGACAGATAAATAAATAATATCATTTTTATAGTAATATTTTCTAAAAAAAAAATCAACTGGCCAGGATCAGAAATGGGGGTGTACAAGCTACTTCAGATAGGATGAACACGGAGGACCTCTCTGAGGGAACACGTGGGAGGAGACCTTATGAACAAGAAGCCAATCATGGGAAGATGGGGCACCGCACTTCAGGAAGAACAGCAAGGGCAAGGTCCTGAGGCAGGACCCAGTGTGGCCTGTTCAAGCATCAGAAAGGTCTCAGCCTGGCTGGGCTGAGGTGGGGCAGAGACTGAGAGGAGGCAGGCACCAGACCACATGGAGCCTTGCTTTGTGCTCACGTGCCTCGGGCTGCTCTCTCTAGACTCGCTGTCCTCATCTGTCAGTTCCCTTTTCCAGCTTTGACGCTGAAAAACCCTATAACTTGTGGCCTAGAACATCGCAGGCACCGTGGTTTCTGCCTTCGCCTCATCCTGCCTGGCACGTTCTCGTTCATTCCCACAGCCTGCAATGCCTGCCCAGCCATCCTGGGGGAACCCTGCCCGAAGACACACCCTTTGTGTACACCAGAGGACAGCCTCTTGGGGAGGCCCCTGGAGGCCACACCAAGAGGTCTGGACTAGAGCAGCAGGGCAGCCACTTCTCCAAAAAGGCAGGTGCACAAAACACCAAGGCCAAAGGCTTAAGCTTATTAGAATGACAGAAGAAACCAAGACAAAACAAAAACAAAAGCACATCCTAAAGGTGAGAAACACATCGATCCTCTGCGTTACTCAGCACCTGTAAGACCGGGCAGTCATACCCTTTCCCAGTCAGACTCACAGGAGGAGAGGCAGCTGCTCCCTCAGGATGTACGGATGAAGGACGAGGGCCTGCGGGGGCATCTCTGAGGTGCAAGTTCTTACTCTCCCACACGCAGGTCTCACCCTGGTCTCCAGCCACCCTGGGGCCTGCCCAGTTCAGACCCCCGGCCCTCTCTCCATCTCTCTGCGATCATCCTCCTTACACCAGGTACGGGCCATTCTTACGTATTACTGGTGGAAGCATAAGCTGGTAACTGGAGGAAACGCTGGCATGTGTGTCAAAATTTCCGATGCTTATAAACATTCATTGTAGCACTATTTATTAGCAAAAACTGGGAAATACTCCAAGTGCAGACCGCCCCACTGACTGTGCCCAGAGCAGGCTGAGAGTTAACTCCACAATTCGCTTGTGTTGGGAAGTGAGTCTGGCCAAAGCCCCCGTGACTAGGTAACATGGCAGCCGGGGGCAGAGGGCCTCGCACCCAAATTCCGTTCCCAGAATGAAGAACGCTTTGTCTCCTCTCTTACAAGCCTTGCCTGAGTCAGCAGCGTATCCTTAGCAACCACACAGCCCTGTCTCGTAGCCCCTTACTCCAACTTAACAGTGACCGTGTCACCTGTAACTGCCAGCGGTTTTTGCTGACCGGGCCTTTGCTTGCACAAGCACTGTCACCCCAGTTTCCCCGTCTGTCTCATGTCATAGCATGGAGCAGGAGATCAGGACGCACTGCCACTGCAGGGGCCTCCGATACTCATCAGTGGGGACTGGTCAATTAGACCACAGTGAACTTGTGCTCTATAGCACTACCCTTCACAGCCACACTAAGAGAATACGGAGTACAACGGTGAGCGCGCCACGAAACCACTGTGCAATACTCAAGCTGCCAGGCAATGCCTAAAAGTACTTCTGTGTAATAAGTGGGGGAGAAATGCACTTGGCCATGTCTACGCAAATATGCTCAGGAAAGGTTCATAATCATGTAAAGTTAGCGGACACTGACTTGAGAAGGTGTGAACAGGACACTACAGCTAGGCCGATGGGAGGCTGAAGGTGAGCTTTTCGTATTTTTAATAGTCTGTTACCTATATAAAGAACTTAGAAAAGTGTACATAACCCATGCCTAGAAATTTCACTCCTAAAAATGTACACCGTGGTTTTGCAGTGTGAGCAAAGACATATGGTACAAGGACCTTCATAGGGAAGGGTTTCTAGCTCTGTAGCCAAAACACCTAAATGTCACTGGAGGTTGGTGGAATAAATTGTGCTGGGCTGGGGGGGCTTCCAAGGCAACAGCAATATTCTACTTCTTAAAACTGGATGGCGCGGGGCTGGGGATGTAGCTCAGTGGTTCTGCCACCTGCCTCGAAAGTGCAGGGTCCTGAGTTTGATCCCCGGTACCAAACCAAACCAAACCAAAGTGGATGGTGGTACTTAGATATCCACTTTACAAGAGTTCTTTCATACCTTTTATTTAATAACCACCCCCAAGGCCTTCACATTAAGCTGCATCTCTAGCCATTTCTTGTTTTTGATGTAGAGACAGGGTCTCACAGTCCTGAAGTTACCCAGGCAGGCTGAAACTTGCAATTCCTCCTGCCTCAGCCCAGAGTGCTGGGAGTACAGGATGTACCACCATGCCTGGCTTTTAATAGGTAATTTAAAACTGTAAGCATCTATTCAATGAATCTTATGTGGCTGTTGGTCTATACATGCTAGTCTGTAATGATGCGAGAAACACTGGTAGAAGTGCTGAACAGGAGGTATGACGCAGTGCAGTGGTAGAGCACCACCTAGCATGAGGCTCTGGGTTTGATCCATACTATGACCAAAGAAAAGAAAAAAGAAAGAAAGGAAAATGTTACGCATAGAAGTTTCTAGGCGGACTTACAGTAACACAGGGTGGGGACAGGGACAGAAACTGGAAGTCTGGAATAGAACTAAGGTTTTTCACTGTGTACTTTCTCAATCATTCTGAATGATTTCTCTATACGCCTTCAAAAATTAATGTTAATTTACAAAACGTGACAGGATCGTGCTGGCCGCAAAGTGGGCATCCTCTCGGGGCGGCTCGTCCGTGTCCGCTGAGAGGCTGCGCCCACGGGGCCGGCTGCATTCACTTCGCCACCCCCGCCCTGGCCGGGGCACTCACTTTGGCTCGTGAGGAGGTCCGGACTGGTCGACCAGCTTGAACTCGGCAGCGAAGCCGTGCGAGCGGGCGTAGTCCAGCAGGCCGCCCACCGGGTTGGTGTTCAGGTACCTGACGAGCTCACTGATCCTCCGGATGCTGCTGGGCACCCCAGACTCCAAGGTCTCCCCTGACTCCAGGTTCTCGCCTCCGGGCTGGAGAATTAGCCAAGAGGAACCAGAACCACGTCAGGAAACCAAGGCCCCATGGGCTGCCCTCCCTTGCTCAGCCGCTCTGCAGCTGGGACTTCGGAGCAGGAAAACGCCTCACCTGGTCGTCAGCCGCGGTGGTGGCTTCCTCATGCAAGGCCTTCATGGCTTCCTCTGCCGCCATCTGCTTTGCCGCCTTTTTGCTGGGGGCGCTCACCGTGGGGAAAGTCTGGGCCCCGACCGCAACACAGTACTGGAACCTGCAGGAAACAGGGACGGGGCAGCTGATCTGTGAACGGCTCGGCAGGCTGGCCTTCGCTCCTTTCACTGTGCTCACGGCCAGCGCCCTTGCTGCCTCCTGCTCAGTGGCCCTCAGCCTGGCTGACGCCTTTCGGCATGCAAGCTATCGCCCTGGCTTCACCTCCAGGGATCCCTCTTCGTCCCCGTCTTTTTTTTTTCTTTCTCTCTCTCTTTCTTTCTTTTCTTCTCTCTCTTTTCTTTCTTTCTTTTTCTCTCTCTTCTTTCTTCCTTCCTTCCTTCTTTCTTTTTCTTTCCTTTCTTTTCTCTTGGTGCTGGGAGGGACCCCAGGGCCCACACACATTAAGCAAGGACTCTACCATGAAGCCACAGCAAGCTCTGAATCCTTCTCGGCACACATGCGTACAGCTGCCCTGTGCATCCCTTCCTACCAACGGTGACCTCCAAGCTGGGAGCCTCCCTGACACTTGGTTCCACTGAACTCCTAATGTCAGGCTCTCTGCTTCACAAGCAGCAACCAGGCCCTGAAGGGCCCACAGGAGAACTCTCACTAAGAAATCTGCCACCTGTGAGGAGGGAAATGTGTCTTTCTTTTTGAAAAAACCTTGACAGAGAGACACGGCACATGGGCATACTTGGGGTCGTGGGCAGGCCCTTCTTTGGACAGGAGGCGGAATTCGCAGGAGTTCCCCAGTTTGTGCATACACTCCAGCAATGTCGTGACAGGGCTCTTCCCAGAGAACAACGATGACACTGAAGGGCTTGGGGGCTGGGGCTCTGCTGTCTGGAGAAAATGAGACAAGAAGAAAACATAACACAAAAAAACAAAACTAGGAGAACTGCCAGTCCAGCACAGCAGGGGAGATGGAATGGGAAAATTTCTTTTGCACAGTGCAATGCTCGGGGCTGGCTGTCCAGAGGAAGGGGCCTGGGGACTTCCGAGGCACGGCAGGAGGGGGAAGGTTGTCCTCCTAGAGAGGTCAATGAGCCTTCCAGTCTCTCTGGGACACTGTGGAAATGCAGTCAGGAGGGGAAGGGAGCCATGCTGGAGCCGGGTGAGGAGGAGAGGCCAGCGGGTGAAGTGGGTGCTGCCCAGGGAAGACAGTGAGTGTCCAGAAGAGGAGTGCTCCAGGCCAGTTAGGCCCTGGCATTTCCCGACATCAGCCGTGAACCTGTGTCCCCAAAGGGAGGACACCTACCTTCTCTGACTCCATCTCTGTGGAACACAGGGATAAGTCTTCGGGCTTCCCACTGTCCTGAGCTCTGGCTTCCCGAAGCAGAACTGTCATAGCTTTCATGGCTGCATCCTGCTTCGCCACTTTCTTGCTGCCAGCTTCAGCTGGGGGAAACTCTCGGCCACTGATGACAACCTGGTATTTAAATCTTGGTGGAAAGCAATCAGATGTGTGAAGCCCAGGCCACACCTGCCCTCTGCTCTTTCCAAGCAGTTCCCCCAGAGTGTTCTGCTGCCCTAAGCATGTTTTGACTTGTAGAGGAGATGGAGGGTAGGCCCAGGAGCTCTGATCACTTTGGAAGATCGGTCTGTCCCATCCTTTTATTTTGGTAGGGGTAGGGGTGGAGCTGAGGAATCGAACCAGGGCCTCATGCATGCTAGGCAAGTCCTTGTTCTATCTCTGAGCTACATCCCCAGCTCTATTTTATTTTTTTAAATTACGAGACAGGGTCTCACTGAGCTGTCCAGGCTGGCCTTAAACTTGTGATCCTCCTGCCTCCACCTCCCCAGGAGCTGGAATTACAGGTATGCACCACTGTGTCTGGATTGTAGCTTCTTTTGGAACAAAGCAACTGAAGACTCTCTCCATATAGCTCAGTGGAGCAAGCTCAGCAACAGGAGGGCGATACAAACCTTGCTCGGGGGAAACTTACTATCTGCTAGCCATAAAATAAAATAAAGTAGGGCCAGGGATTTAGCTCAGTGGTTTTGCTGCCTGCTGCGCAAGCAAAAGGACCCGAGTTCGATCTCCCGTACCAAAAACAAAACAAAACAAAAATAAAATAAAATAAAGTCTCTATAAGAAATGATGGGCTAAAATCATCCTTATAGTCCTGTCAGCAACTAGAAGGCCTCCAGCCTAGAGCACCTGTGGTGGACTGGCCTCCTCATGGGAGAGCCCCAAAGAGTAAAGGGCTGGGGATGTGCCTCAGTGGTACGGTGCTCGCTGAGCACGCACACAGCCTTGGGCTCGACCGCAACTGCAGAACAGCAAAGGTACTGGACAGCTCAGCCTCACATGCCTGACACTTGCCCCTCATCCAAGACCTGATGGGCCTAGAGGGGCAGAAGGGGAGTTGGACCCTAACTTGCCCGGAGAGTACATCACTTACAGCTTGTTTTGAGCCAGCCTAGAGCTCTCCGCTTACCCCGAATCTGAGATGAATGAATTTTCCTTGTTATACACACAGCCAAAAAGCATTCACTCTAGGCCCCTGGACTAGGCCTAGGCCTCTTCTGTTCAAGGTGTTCAATCTGTTCTGCTCTTTGCTAGATCTTGGTTTCATTTAGAAAAGTAGGTCTCAGTCTTGTGAAATACTTGAACATGGTATCGATGTTTCTTATAGCTGATATCCAAATAATTACTAAACACAAGACCCATGGCTCTCCCCTAACCCTGGGGAGGGAGGATGTGGGGAAAGAGAGGGTGCAGCCATCCAGGCTCTTCCTTAACAGACAGACCAGTCCTGGCCCTCCCAGCCTCTCGGCCAATGCAGCCCCGTTCTCAACAGCTTCCCTGCAATGCCAGCTTGGTGTCATGAGGACAGTCAGCAAGGCATCAGGGCCACGGCTGGGAAGCCCTGCCTGGAGAAACCAGCCTGCATATACACAGCCATGTGCACAGACAGAAACGTTCCGGGCAATGCCATTTCAGCCAACGATGGGCCACATATACAATAGTGGTCCCGTAAGGCAGTACTGCCTGCGATGGAGCTGTCTTAGTTTGTCTGCATGATGTTTGCACAATGATGCAACTGCTTCATAAGCACACCTGTCAGACTGTACCTCCACTGCTAAGTGGCACAGGACCCTGTAAAGGTGGGTGGCATCTCCCGTCCTCCCTGGTCCTCTGGCTGCACCCTGCCACCACTTGGAGTCAGTCTCCGCCAGGCCCTCCAACAGCTCCTTTCTGGGCCCAGGTGTCTTCTTCAGTGTCCTCTGACCTGGGGACCACCTAGTGCAAGGCTCACCCAGCTGTCTGAGGAGGGGAACCGATTCCTCGGCTCAGGAGCAGCAGCGAGTGCTGGCCCACCTATGTGTGCAGAGGTGGTGTGTAAAATTAGGACCAGCACCTCCAACAACAGGCAGGCAGCCGTGCATGCTTTGCACCACCCTCTCCCTGCCCGCCTTCACTGTCAGCATGGCCTCCCTCACTCAGTGTGTGCAGCCTGCCCCAACCCACCTGCTCCTACACCTGTCTCAGGAACTGAGCTTGGAGGGGAGGGGAGAATACACAGGGGTTCAATCTCCATCACATCTGGACACCTTAGGAGGCAGGTGTAACACAGATGTACGTAAGCCAATCATGTCTAGAGAACCTCCTCTTTGCTCAGCCAAGACACTGGCCGATCCCTGCTCATCACCTGGAGAAGGGCCAAGAGAAGGTGATTCAGCCAATAGGCAGATAAAGAAGAGGAAAAAAAGGGCCACCAAAGGGCTCTGCTCACAAGTCAGCTGAGACTGCGTCCAGAGTGAGTGCCTGAGCCCAACCCGAGGTTCAGCTCCTGGCGGTCTCTTACCGAGGTTCATGGGACGGTCCACTCTGCTCTATGAGGTTGAACTCACAGGTCTGACTAGAGAACTGTGCATACTCTAACAGCCCGCTGATGGGGTTCTTCAGCTGGCACTCTGTCAGCTTCTTGTAGGATGAACACCGTGGCAAGCCAGGGCTGTAGACGGAGGGCATCTCCATGATGGCTCGAAACTCACCTGGCGCTGCGCGGATACTGTTCAAGTCATCTGGGATGTCATCTGTGGCCCACTGGCCATTTTCAGAGTCCATATACCCTGCTCTGAAGGGCCGATTGTGATAGAACGGTGGCCTAAGTCTCATTGGTCTTGGTCGGGCCTCTTCTCTACTTTCTAACTTTGCCACAGGCTCCTGCCCGTTCTGTACTTTCACTGTGGCCACCACATTGTTGGAAGCATCTGATGGGGCCAAGTGACAGGTGGGGAGCGGGGCACTTCTTCTAGGCTCAGGGACAGCAGGTGGAGTGGCTGCGGGGACACCGTGCACGTCTCTCCTGACTTGCATCCTCTCGCGCTTCTTGTCTGTCAGGTGCCACATAGGAGGCGTGGCTCCTTGCCTGCAGACATCCCCCTGCCTCTCCAAGTCGATTAGCACTGTGTTCACATCCCGGGCCTTGGTGAGACCAATATTTTTAGCCAGATTCAGGGCGGAAGAGTTAGACACATTGAACAGGTGGGCACAGATTTTCTCCTTGATCTCAGCCATGTCAAAAGGCTCAGGAGGATCTTCTAAGTCAGATGTGGAGTTTCTGTCCTCAGCTTTCAAAGTGGGCCGTGGGTCTGGTCTCACTGCTTCAACAGGCTTGTCCCAGGCCTGAACTGAGGCTGCAATGCTCCATAGAGGGGGTGTTCCTGTCCCCTTGTGCAGCTTACCCTTCTTCGCCAGGGAGTATAAAGAGTGATTGACTTCCTGCTTCCGTAACCCGAGCTTCCTGGCCAGATCACGTGCTGTGGTGGCCGACTGTTCTCCTAGCTCTTCCAAGAACGCTAAGACCCTTTGCTCCTGATTCTGGCTGATGCTCAGGTCCTGGAATTGTGAGGAAAGCCCATCAATCCCTCTCCATGGCACTCTGCCTCGTGGTGAAGGGAACTGGGACCCTACCTGGAGCCCTGGCCTGCGGAAAGGTGCGACCCTGGGGACGCCCCTGAGCCCGAGTTGCGCGCCTCCAGCAGGGGGCCCTGGACGCCCTGGCCAAGATCCTGGGAAGAGGCCTGGGAGGAGCGGCGGTGGAAGCGGCAGCAATGGTGGCTGTTTTCCGGGCAGGGGCACTTCCAGGAGCCGGCCCTTGAGAAACTCTATTTGCTGGAGTTGGAAATTGTTAAGGCAGGATCCTGGCCCCCGCGGCTGCTGGGCGGCCTTGCTGTGTTCATGGTCCTGGCCGGGGTGGGAGTGGGATCTGGAGAGTGAACGCTCCTGCCGGGACAAGATGTAGGAAGGAGTGAGAAGGCTGCGGTGGAAGCCCAGCCAGCCCCGCCCAGGAGGCTGCCCAATGCCCAGCTAGGGTACAGCCCCCCAGAAGTACTGACTAGGGCCACCACAGGGAATCCCGGCGGAGGCAGAGCCCGCAGGGCTCCCCAGCACGAAGAGGTCTGGCTCCCTCAGCACAGCTTCTTCCTGACCTGACTGTCTCCTCTCAACAGTGCATGGCGTTGAGAAGGGCCCTTTCTACCTACGCCAAAGTTCCTCTTGTAAAGATCAGAAAAACAAATAAATGGTTTTGAAAATAAACAAAGACAGAACTGTGAGAATTGGAAGGGAGTTAAGGGACTAAGGAGTCAATGAGAGCAGCCCTACTTGAGGGAGGGTGCCCACCACACAAGGACCCTGTCTCAAATCTGTCTCCCAGCTGGGCGGGTAGTGCATGGCTATGATCCCGCGCCTGGAAGGCTGAGGCAGGAGGACTGATGCCAGTTCAAGGCCAGCCCGGGTCTACACAGTGAGGCCCGTCTCAAAAAAACACCCCCCAAACTGTCACCTGGGTGACTGTGACAAAAGGAGAGATGTCAGTTAACTGAATGACCCTGCCCCCACCTGGTCTCCCAGGTACAGGGGAAATAATGCAATGGTCTCCAAAAGGAAGGGCTGCAGGGCCTGAGACTCATCTGCTTGCCCCTGGACCAGCACTGGTTTTTAAGGAAGCTGGAGGGTTTCCTTACGAAAGCAGCATGCTGTCCCCTCTTGCGTGAGGTACCCAGGCTCACCTGGACGCGAGCAGCAGGCAGGGCCTGTTCCTCCTGCAGCACACCCTCTGCTTCCCTGGCTGCCTCCACTGCCCCGCCTTCTGAACACGTCCCTCCACCTTTCTGCCACACATCTGGCCTGTCCGGCTGCTCCACTCCAGCCAAGCCCTCAGATCCCGAACCTCTCTTGGGTGAAGATACTCTGCAAAGGCCGGCTAGGTCTCCCATTCTAGGGCTGAGCAGCCACATGTGGGTCATGAAGCTTTACTTACAAAAGCAGGGGGAGCACTGGGTTTGGCTGTGGGCTGCAGACTGCTGACTCCTGTCTCTACAACTTCCACTCCTAACTGCTGGCATCTGCTGCTCATGTGCACTGTCCCATTTCTACTTCTTCCTTGTTCTGGCTTCATACACCCCTCACTCTGCCTTGAGCACTTGATCAGCCAGGTTGCTGTCATCCATCTCCCAACCTAAACTAGCTCTCTTATGCAACTCAAACCTAAACGATCTCCAGCGACTACAATCTGCACTTTGTGGAGAAGCTTAAGATCTGAATTTCCAATTACCTAGCGAGACATCCATCTGCTCAGATACCCTACCATTATCTCAAACGCCACATGTTCCGAACCAAATTAATCATTTCCCTCAAAGGCAGCCCCTGTTTTTATTAGTGTTGATGGCATTCTCCTCCTCCTGGGTCTTTACAGCTAGAAACTTGAGTCATCTCTGCTGCCTGCCTCCCCGCCCGCCTCCCTCTCCCATGGTCTGACCAGGTATCTGCCAAGGCTTGCCTACTGTTTCTGAGATGTGTCTTCCAGTCCCAGCTCCTCATTACCTCAGAGCTGCCTATCCTTGAACACCTGTGACATTTACTTTTTATCAAAGCTACTAGATTTTAAAACCTAACAATAGTAGCTCAGTGGTTTCACTGCCTGCTGCGCAAGCACAAGGACCCAAGTTCGATCCCCGGTACCAAAAACACCCCCCCAAAACCTAACAATGGCACACACAGCCTGTAGTATATCTGAAGGGTAATAATACTGGGTGCCCTAGAAATTATGCTCACCTCCACTCCCAGTCTTCATAGCATAGTCTTAGCATAGTCCCAGTCTTCACTGGGTTGTAGCTGACTCTACAGTGAGTTCCAGGGGGAACAAGGGCTACACCTCAGTCAGTCACCTTTGTTTCCCTAGCACCTGGTGCAAAGCTGACAATGAACCAACGTTTGTTGAATCTGTGGCTGCATGAACAAGACATCCCTATTCCCAATCACTTCTCTCCTTTCTCCTCTCATGCACCCCGGCCCCACAGTGCTAGGGCCAGAACTGACATAGACAGAGTGCCCAGTCCACAGAACTTAATCATGGGAACTTCAGGGGTTTTCTGATTAGCTCTTAAAGTGACCCTGGAAGAAGAACTTTGGGGCTGGCACGGTGGCTCGTGGCTGCAATCCCAGCACCCAGGAGGCTGCTGAGGCAGGAGGAGCAAGGAGTTTGGGGCCAGTCTGGGTACCCAGTGAGACTCTGTCTCAAAAACAAAACAAAAACATTTTGTTTCGAGGTGGTTAAAGTCATTTTCTAGGTAAATAATTTCTAGATTTAAACTGCTACTCTCAGCCAAAATCTGGCAAATTTTGAGTGTTCACCTTTGAAATAACTGACAGTTACCATACACTCATGCTGTGCAACAGTATTCACACAGCTTTTATAAATAGGTGATGGAATTAGTTAGGAATATGTTAAGACAAAAAAGGCAAGTTGCAAAGTAAATGTCTGCTTTAATCTCTTCTACTATAAACAAATGAGGAACCTCATGAATACACACACAAGTGGATAAAGAGAGAAAAGAAATGATCCATTAAGAGTGGTTTTAGGAGATGTTAGAAGTAGAGGGAAGGAAATTATTAATTTTGTGTTTCCTTCCCCCTGAAAACCAAGCCTCACTGGAGAACAGTCAGGCAGACAGCCGCTGCAGGGTGGTCACTCCCAAACTCCTAAAGCTCACTTCTCTCCCACTTGTCTGTTTATTGAGAAAACTGTGTAACAGTCATCTACCATTCACTCCCTCCAAATTTTCCCTTTAAACTGTTATATTTCCGATCAAAAGATAAGCCCCTGCCTTTCTTTACCACTTGGACTCTCAGAGTGACACTGGGGTACGTGAACAGAAGCTTTTCCTTCGTGGCGGGTGTCTCTAGTCCCTCTAAAGAAGGGCTTTTAAAGACACACACACCGTAATAGTATGTAACACTTTCAAAATGGAGGTGTGATTTGCATTTAGTAAAGTTGTGGGCTGGGGATTTAGCTCAGTGGTTCTGGCGCCTGCCTTGGAAGAGCAAGATCATGAGTTCGATCCCCGGTACCCAAACACAAAACGGCCACACCACAACCAAGAAGCAGAGCACTTCCACTTCCCAGAAGGCCTCTCAGGGCCCTCAGCAGGGAGTCAGTCCCCTCGCCAGCCCCGGCACCCACGGACAGCTTTGTTTCCACAACGCCACACGCGTGTGCGCGCAGCCTCAAGCCTGTCTGGCTGCGCTCAGCACCGCGCATCTGCGAGCCAGGCTCCTCCAGCGGGGCCATTTGTGCTTCCGGTTCTAGCACGCTGAATAAAGCTGTTAGGACGAGCTGGATCTGGTCTCCCACAGCTCTCGGGGTGGAAAGGGTACTCGAAAGGGTCCTCAGCAATGAAAGCGGTGCCCGGGGCCGAGCCACCGCGGGGAGGACGGGCCTGGCTGGGAGGCGCCGGCCCCGCCACCCGGAACGCGGTCCCGCCCCGCGCAGGCCGCCCGGGAGTGGGAGGCGCGCGGCGCTTACCTGTGGGGGGTCCATGGCGCCCGCCCGCCGCCGCCGCCGCCGCCGCCGCCGCCGCGAGCATCGCCCGCGCCAGGCGTCTTCGGCCGCAAGATGGCTCTGGGTCAATTTCGGTTTCGTTTCCTTGCAAAACCGGCCTCCGGAAAGACTGCCGGGAGGAGGGGTTTGGCCTGCCGGGCCGCGCTGCGCTCTCCAGCCCCGCCGCTGCCTCTCGGCTCAGGCCACGGGGCCCCAACGCGCTGGCCTCGCTGCTCTCAGCCTGGGCTTTCTTTCCCAGGGCCCTCACCCTGCTACGAACGGAGGCAGGGTTACCAGCAAGAGGAGGCGGGAGCGCTGCAGGGTATCGGCCCCTCCCGGGAGGGGTAATTAAGCAGCGCCTCCTGCCCCTCGTCGCACCACAGCTCTGCTCTGCGCGCGTGGGAGCAGTTTTGAGGTCGGAGCCCCCCCCAACACACACACTGGTCACGGAAGCCTCAGTTCACCTAAGGCCTCGCCACCTGACTGCTTCATTCCACCTGCAGCTCTCCGGTTTCGCCCCCACCTGCTCAGGAGACAAACGCCCCTTCCCAGCAGCACCTCCAGCCCCTGCCTGTGACCTCCGTGCTCTCCTGCAGCTGCCCTGCCCCGCATTTCTCCAGGGAGCTGCTTACTTCTGCTGTGCCTTCGCACATTCTGTTCCCTGGCCCAGAGTGCACTTATTTGCGACTGCTTTTGGTGAAGCCACGTTTCAAAACAGGCTTTGCTTTGCCCTACGGAGGCCTAGGCAGCGAGGGAGCCAGTGCGCTCCAGGTTCTGGGCTTTCCCTTGCTCAGCACTTAACCCTAACAGGCCTCTTTCACATTCTTCTGAAAACGCCTCATCCCATCATTTAACAAAACTGCACTGAGCACTGAGCACGTGCCCGACTCCATGGAAGGAATGAGGCTCTGACACCAGGGCCAGACCCTGCACCAGTCAGTCCTGGGGGAACCACTGACGTGCACTATTTATACACCTGCCTTCCGCGCTGTCAGGTCCTCCTGGGGGGGGTGGGGGCATGGGTTTGTCCCTGTAGCCCCTGAACAGTGACCCTGAGATGAGGACTGAAGAGCTGAATGAACAGCAGCGCTCAGTAGGCAGAACACTGCTGAACTTCACAGGAGCAAACTACGGATACCAGAAAGCTCATGGAAACGTGCATGACCTTGCTACTTCAGGGAGATGCCCGGGAAAGCCCTGGCAAGTGGATAGGCTCCATCGAGCTCCGGTGCAGAGCAGCTCTCTCCCTGCGGGAGGCTGGGCTGCTGGAACCTGGGAAGGAAGGCAGTGTCCGCTCCACAGGGCGGCCGGGCATCAGGGAAGGATCCACAGCCGCGCCGTTTGTGGCGTGCTGGACACAACCGCTGAGCCACCTCGGGAGAAATGGGCAGTGATGACCACAGACTGTGCTGAGCTGGGACACCACACAGCAGCGAAGCTGAAGAACTGCCGCCACCTTCAGCAAGGTCCCCCAGGCAGAGGTGACAGCGCTCCGGGTCGGCTCCATTCACAAGGAACACGGACACCCAGACGGGGCTAAAACAAAGCACGCGCTCTGCAGGGAAGGAGGGGGTTGACTGGGAAGATGTTCTGGGAGTGGTGACGTCCTTGTTCTTGAATAGAGGCTACTCATGGATTGCGTTCAAATAATTCAGTTATGTTTTATTCACATTTCTATACATACACTATATTTCGCAATTTAAAATGTTAAAGCAACTAACTCTGCCTCCAGCCCTGCAGCCCACTCCCCGTTCTTTTCTCTGCTTTGCAGAACCTGAGGCAGGCCGTAACCTCTGCTGTCTTGTTTTGGGTGGACGATCTGAAAGCATTTAACTCTTCCTCAGGAATGCTCCAGAAAAGCTTCCAACCCAACTGCTGCACGGCGGTACTGCTGGGGCCCTGAAGCAGACAGGAGCAATTTCTTCCCTCCAGAGAGGGTTGGTTTGTGCCTCGGAAGATGACTGCTGCTGTCACTTAATCTTAGCAACTCAAGTAGCAGCAGACTTCTTCATAAACCTTTCATCTCCTCACCTAGCGATCGTCTTAACTCCCCCAGGGTTGCAAGGTGGTTGTTGTAGGGACTTGACAAGCTAAATGAAGCTCTTTGAAAGATTAACCCAAAGTAATTTGGTTTTTTTTGTTTTGTAACCCAAAGTAATTTGTTTACTGCAGAAATTTTCAAAACTACAGCCCATGAACACAGCGAAGGTCGCTGTTAGTCCTCCATTGTCAAAGCACTGATGCCTCCTCCGAGTCCAGGTCTTCCGGTCCTCCCCACAGCTGTCCCTTGGTAAAGCACGCTCACCCCGGGGTCCAGAGAGCCTCCTGAGGGCTGCGGGGAGCCCAGCTGCCGGGCCACCCGGACTCATTAGTAACTGCCTGAGTAAGGTGACCGAGGACCTCCCCGGCGACGCCGGCAATCTGGCTTCAGCTTCTCCAGGGCGCTGCTGGGCTCCCGCTCCTTCAGGCCTTCTGGCCGGACTTTTCCATCTTAGAAACGGGTTTATGATCACAATTACTGAGCTAGTTTTAGCTCCAACCCCTGCTCTTCTTTTTAACTCTAAATAACTGTTAGTCTGGCTTTGTAATTATTAATTTGGTTTGTTGTGAATTTTGTGTTTAACCTCACTGCAGGCAGGGACACTTATTTACAACAACAGCTTTTGAGTTGGTAATTTCCTGTAACCAGACTGAGGTTCACATACGGGCTACATCCTGTTGGATCATTTATGTCCCTATGCTACAGCAGATGTCTGCAAACTCCTTCAGGACTGGCTCAACCAGAAACACTGCTACGGAAGTGTACTGAGACTACTTGCAACATGTGATCACAGAAAATAATAGTTATTTTTAATTACTCCGGCATTATTTTAGAAGACAGTATGCACAGAAATAGACTCACGTTTTCATCCAGGCTCTTAGGAAACGGGTAATAAGCAATTCATACGGTTCGTAGATACAAACTTACAGGCTTTTGTGTTGCTGTTTCCCTTCAATCCTTTTTCTTTGGGATTTCCTTTCTTTTTATTCCACTGAAACAGCTACTACTCTGGCAACATTCACTTTCAGAATTCACGGGGTCTTCCTGCGGTCACCCCACCAGCTCTGCTAACATGCTAGGGTTCCAGAAGGCACAGCAGTGAGATGTCCAGCTGGCAGAGTGGCGCTCTGTGGCTGTATTTATGCTGATGTCTGTTCTACTGATGTTAAGCAATCAGCCCTGGCTTTTGAAGTTACAAGAAAGTAAGAAATGTGTCAGGCACCACTGAAAGAAGCTGTCTCCAAAGTAGTTCGAGTACCTGTACCCAAAATTACACAACAAATGAAGAAAAAAGGTGATGTTTATCAACTGTAGTATGTGTAAGCATGGTTAGTAGGTTAATAAAGACATAGGATTAGAAATCATGTCAAAACAATATTTAAATAATGGCCAACAGACTGTGTAGCATATTCCAGGTGTAAATAACCAGTTAATGCACGTACATTTAATCTCCTGACCATGCCATGAGGGTGGCCTATGCAGCTTGTGGTTGAGGCATCCAGTCCTGCCGCCTTACCCTGCCTGTCCTAAGTGAGCCTGGTCCTGTGTACAGCATGTGACTGGCACCACCAAGCTGGACCTAAAGCAGGGGCTCCCACCCGCTCTTGCTGCTTCTTCCTCTTTGTTCCAGCAGGCCCTAGCCTGTGAGTGGCCAGACTGAGACTAGCTGGAGTTCTGCACTGATCCCTGGGAAGCAGGCTGATTTCACTAAGAGCCAGTTTGTAAAAAGCCAATTTGCCAAATGGCCAATTCACTGAATAACCAATTTATGAAACAGCCAATATACTGAATTTACTTTTTTCCCCAGTCTTAATTGCCCAGTTTTTATTTTGTCTTCGTAACAGAAGTGGAAGAAATGTACCCCCACCTGCTGTCTGAGCTGGAGAGCGAGGAGTCTGGGAGCTCGAGGGTGAGATCCAGTAGATTCTGTGGAAGTGTCTGCAGTGACTTTCTGGGAGTTGGCAGGCAGCCGCTGCAGCCCACAGTCTTCTTCCCAAAGGGAATTAGTAAGGCTCTGCCGTTTCTCGCTTGTCTTTGACAGTCTTCCTTTCAGTACTGACAAGTTCAGAAAATCACTACCCACGCTGAGGAGAAGGCCCTGCCAAGTCAGAGTAGCAGTGATTTGAAGATGCTGGCCTTCGAGACTAGCGGATGTGGGCCACGCCAAGCATGTCCACGGCCATCAGGATCTGGCAGGGCAAGGAGTGGCAGCTCCCCAAGAGCCTCTGGAGGGAGCAGAGTCCTGCCCATGTCTTCATTTTAGCCCCATGGCCTGATTTCACACCACAGTCTCCAGAATCAGGACAGAATAAACTTTTGCTATGCTAAGCCACCAGTCTGCGGCAATTCGCTACTGCAGCCATGGGAAACTAACAGCATCTCGAGGGAAGTGCAGAGCAGGCAGCTTGCAGCCTGGGGGTTTCCGCTCTGAGGGTGTCAGAGGGAAGGGCTGGACTGGCTGGCTGTCAGACAGCACAGGTACAGTGCCAAGCTAAACAACAGCCTCATCACAATGTCCAACAGAATTACAGCTGTACACTGATTTCTTTTTTCAGGAAGGTGCCATTTATTTATTTATTTTGCAGTGCTGTGGGCTGAACTCACAGTCTGCCTTCCTGCCCCAACCTTTCTTGGTGCTGTGGATGGAATCTACAGCCTCATGCATGCCAGCCAAGTGCTCTGCCACTAAGCCACATCCTCAGCCCTCCATTTACATTGTAAAGTGAAGCCTGGGTACAGTGCCCCAGATCTACATAAAGACCCAGAGACTTGGGAGGCTGAGGTGAGAGAATCACTTGAGTTCAGGAATTCAAGGTCAACCTGGGCAACAAAGGCAGGCCCCAGCTTAAAATGTAAATAAATAAAATAAAAGATGACAGAAAGGCAATAAAATCAGACGCAGGAGACATTCCGTACAACTGCGTTTTCAGGGGTATAAGGCCTCCTAGTGCTCTCCCTGAATGCAATCTGGCTTCCATCCTGTCTATACTTCTCCACAGAGCCAGAGGCATCTCTGGAAACTGCAATCTGACCATGCATGGAACTGAAGAAAAAGTATAAACTAAGTCAAGCATGGAGGTGCACGCCTGTAATCCCAGCACTCTGGAAAGCCAAGGCAGAAGGATCGAAAGTTCAGCCCAGACAGGGCAATTTAGTGAGATCCTGACTTAAAAAGTAAAATGGGACCTGACCCAGATTTTCCCCTTCTTGGTATCTTCCTGAAAGAATTAAA